GGGTGGGTGGATGGATGGTGGGTGGACGGTGGGGAGATGCAGGGACAGATGGGGTATGGATAGATAGATGAGGAGTGGGATGGATGGATGGATGGCAGGTGGATGGGTGGGTGGATGGTGGGGGGCGCAGGGACAGATGGGGTACGGATAGATGGATGGAGAGTAGGATGGATGGATAGGTGGGTGGGCGGGTGGATGGTTGGGTGGGTGAGTAGACAGGCAGATGGATGGACAGATGCTTGAACAGGTAAGAGACTGATGGATGTTTTCTGAGCTATTGAGGGCAAGTGGCCACTTCTCCTCTGTAAGAACTTCTGCGCCCCAGACTCTAGAGCCTTTCTTAGCTTCCAACCAAGAAACCCTTTTCAAAGCCAAGAAAAGCAAAGCAATGCCTGACGCTCTCGGGACCCGCTGGTCTCCCCATCACCTGCTGCAGCCAGCCGTGAGCATGGCAGAGGCCCAGCAGGAACCACAGCGCATCAGCAGCCCATGCCAGCCTGCAGGAAGTGTGTGCACCGGAGCTCCTCCCGCCGTCGGAGCACGGGGAGGTGGTGCCCCCAACCTTACCCCCTCCACCCCGGGCCTGCCCCTGTCCGTGCCCAAGGGAAGACTCTTCCCACTGACGGTCGTGACGCTGGTTCTGCTGCCATGGGGCCAAGACGGCCACATGTCCGGTGCCACCGAGGGCATGTGATCGTGGCCGGGGACCGGCCCTGACCACCAAGGGCAAGGTGAGGGTGGAGGGAGCCTAGAGCCAGTCCCGGTGCAGGGCGTGTTCGAGTGGTCCAGCGGAGGACACCCACACCCTGAGACCCTCAGAATGAAGGCCGGAGTCACACCATGGAGGAAGAACTTCCAGCCGGCTGAGACTGAAATGAAGGGGAGTTGGGGCAGGTTGTATGGTCCCAAAATGGTCACCTTGCCCCTCCCACCAGACCTGGACAATCGCAGGAGCGCTGTGGAGGGGATGCCACACGATTTCGGAGGCGGGGTCTCAGAGAAGGATGCGGTTTCTGCCCTCTTCTCCCTCGGGGCGCTCCCAGGGACACTTGCCCGGGATGGCTGCCATGCCGTGAGGAAGCCCGGACCGCGGGAGGAGCCCCCGTGAGGGTGTCCCACGATGGCCAGCACCGACCAGCAGGCATGCGACTGAGCCAGGCTTCGGGGGACCCAGCCCAGGCCCCACGGGGCCTGCCCACCTGCAGATTCGGTCCCTGTTTGACTCAGGCAGGCGGGGGATGCTTGGCACCTGGCCATGAGCGTTGTAATATGTACTGACTGTTTCCCTTCCTCGTGAGCCCCTCCCCATGCTCCCCCAGCACCCACGGCCCCGTGAGCCCCTCCCCGTGCCCCCCAGCACCCACAGCCCCGTGAGCCCCACTCTGTGCCCCCCCAGCACCCCATGGCCCATAGGGGGCTAGTTGGCTCTCAGCCCACGAACCGCGGAGTGTGGTGGTGGCCTGGCCTCAGCACTAGGGAACACCCTGATCACCTGCCAAGGAGCACATCCCCCGCGGGAGAGGCCGGCGCTCTTGCTCTCCGGTGTCAGTTTGTTTGCTTGTTGGCCTGAGTTGTATCCGAAGTGGAAAGGGTAGTGGGACTGTGTATCTTTCACCGTATGCAGCCTGAGCTGAAGGGACCCCTCCCCTGAGGCCCCTCAGAGGCTGGCTCAGCTGGGGCCCAAAGCGCCCGGGGCCAGCCACTGGGCAGAGGGTCCCCACGGCAGGGTCCTCATGGGCTCCCGAGGCGAGGAGGGTGCCAGGCCCAGCCACGTGGGACGGAGTCTGAGCCGGGCACTCCACACTCAGCAGGCCTGCCTCGCACCCCCTGCCACGGAGCCGCTAACTGCCCCACTTCATGGAGGAGCCAGAGGCCCCGAGGGGGAGGAGCCAGAGGCCCCGAGGGGGAGGAGCCGCGAGTGGGCAGGATGAGGACCGAGGGGCGACCGGGGCAGCCAGGGGCGTGTGGGCTGATGAGAAATGGGAGAGGGACAGCTGGGGGGCTCTTGAGATATGATCCCAACACCTGGGGTCCATCGGCTATGTGCTGAAGCCGCGTTCTCTCCCAGCCCCAGCCCCATGCTCCCCTCTCCAAGGGAAGTGCGACAATCCCACCCACCACAGGGCTCCCACAGATTGTGTGGGCCTGGGAACGAGATGGGTTCTAGTCCTGGCTCTGCTGAGACCTTCCCTCTGGGGGCCTTCCAGGGGAGGAGGGACGGGCGGGTTTAGGAGGCGCATCTGCGGGGCGGCCTCGCTCTGCTCCAGGCCCTGGCTCCAGGCTCCTCCAGGCTCCTCCAGGCTCCCGGCTCTGCCCGCATGGCCAGCCCTGCTCTTGGCCTCGGGCAGCTCCAGACAGTGGGGGCTGAAGGTCACTCCGACACCTCGCTCTTGAGTGGGGAGGCTCCGAGTCCAGTCAGCTGGTGGCAGCAGCGGCCTCCATCAGCACCGTCCCAGGTGCCCTCTTCCCGGCCCCATGCTGCCCTCGGCCCGCCCGCCTGAACTCCTCACCTCAAAACACCTGCTCCCGCCAGGGCCACCCAGAAGTGCTGACTGAGCTGCAGGGGGAGCCTGGGACCCCACCGGAGCGCTGGCCCGCCCTCCACCCCCATTCTTCAAGGTCAGGCAGCCTGAGAGGGAGGCCCAGCCTGTCTCCTCCCAGCAGCCAGCCTCACTCCCCACCTCCCTGCAAGCAAGCCTGCTCTCACCCATGAAGCTGGAGCCAAACCCCCGCCCAGCAACCTCAGCTTGCAGCCCCTGAGGGGGTGCCGCCCCCACTTGCGTTTCCTAGCTAGGACCCGGATCTGCTGGTCCCTCCAGCCCCAAACCCGGGCTTTCCCCGCCCCCAGGGCCCAGCCAGCAGCTGTGGGCCTGGGGGCTGAGACGCAGGCGCTAAGCCCTGGCCCCGCGCCTTGCGGCTGCCCCAAAAACCAAGCGCCTCACACCTGGAGCTGGAGGTGGCAAACTCAATTTGCTCCTGACACCTCCTCCGGACTCCCCCAGCCCAGCAGCCGGGGGCCACTGCGGCAAGGGGGAGGAGGCGGCCGCAGTGCTGCCTTGGGGGGGCTCTGTCCACTCCCCCCTGTCCCCACCGCCGCCGCCCACACCGCAGTGGTGTTTCTCAGACCCTGGAGGAGGAAGAGCTGAGAAATGCAGAGCTTCACAGAATCTTTAAAAACCCCGAAGCGGTCTTTGGAACAAAGTGGCCTGGATCCAGAAGGCTTCGGACCCTCCTCCCAGAGGACTGGGGTTGGGGGAGGGGCGGGGAGGGGTGGGCCCTCTGCTCCAGCCCACCTGAGCAGGCAGGGGCGTCCTGCAGGCCTTTCTAGAATGCCCCTCCCAGGCGAGCTCACCCTCCCTGGGCATCTGGGGGCAGCCACACCCCGTGGGGTCTTACAGGGGCCTGGAAGGGTGCTGCTCCCCCAGTGCTGTGCCCTGGGGGCCTCGGCGTGGCCCCCCCGCCTGCCTGGCACCCACTCCCCACCATGAGAGGAGTTACCTCTTTCCCTCTCCCGCCCACAGGGGCCAGGCCACGGCCCTCCTATGTAGGGGTGCCACCCCCACTCCCTGACCCCCTCTCCATGCCCCATCCCTCAGCTGGGTGCCAGGAGATCCAGAAGCTTCTATCTCCCGGAGCAACGGGGGCCTCAGAGCTGCATCCAACCCCGCCCCCCAACCACTGTTTCCAGAGTGGGGACACAGAGGTCCTGGGAGGGCTTGTGCTGGGTCCTCAGGGAGGAAGGCCCAGGGCCTGCTGTGGTGGGAGGGCGAGGCTCCAACTGGGGGAGCCCCTCGGGAGGGGCAGCACTGGAGAGAGAGGCCCTGGACCACCCCATCCGTGTTTCACACCCATGTCACCACGCCACGTCGCACACACACTCATGCATGCATGCACACTCACACACACACTCACGACACACATGCACACACACTCATGACATGCATGCACCCCCCACACTCACACTCATGACACACATGCACACTCACACTCATGACACGCATGCACACTCACACACACTCATGACATGCATGCACACTCGCACACTCATGACACGCATGCACCCCCACACTCACACTCATGACACGCATGCACACTCACACACACTCATGACATGCATGCACACTCACACACTCATGACACACATGCACCCTCACTCATGACACACATGCACCCCCACACTCACACTCATGACACGCATGCACACACGCACTCACACACACCCCTGCCGTGGCCTCTCCCACCCACTCCATCTCCAGGGGTCCCAGAGCAGGAAAGATGCCTCCCATCCAACGGATGGAGACCAGCGCTGTGGCCAGCAAAGTGGGGAGTTTATTAGGGCAGGCCCAGCCAGAGGTCGGTGTCACGGTGGCGGGGTCAGCACACTGGTGGGAGGCAGGCCGGTGGGAAACTCTCCGGGGTCCATGCAGGCCAGGTGGCAGCATCAACCTGCAAAACAACAGGCTCCATCAGCTCCCAGCTGGGCGCATAGGGAGGAGGCGTGGCTGCGGCAGGGTGGGAGCGGGCGGCTCTGGCTCCCACCTGGCTCTCTCCACCATGCCCCCCTTCCTTGGGGAGCTGACAGCTGTCCCACAAAGTCGGAGTGGGGCCCTGCCTTGCTACCCTCTCCACCTGCCAGCTTCAGGTTTGCCCGGGAGGTGGGCCCGGATGACAGGTCTCCCGCCCACAGATGAGAAAACAAGTCCCAAGAGACCAGCGGCTGCGCGGGACCACAGGTGCCAACGTGGGCTCTTCTGGCCCTGGTCGGGCTGCCCTCCCTCCCTGCCCTCTGTTCTTGCCTGGCCTGTCCTCGCCCCCAGTCCTGTCTGAGTCCCCCACATTGCTGCTCTTCGTGGGTCACAAAGGGGAAGAGGGAGAACACCCCACAGGACTCAGTGACAATCCCATCTCCCTGCCCATTTCTCCAGGGCCGCCACCGGGGCAGGGAGGGGGCCTGGAGGCCCCAGGCCCTCGGCACAGTCTCCCCGGATGATGAGCTCCGTAACACAGGAAGGCCACCAGGACGTGGACAGCATGGAGCATTAGGTGGGCTTCTGCTCGGCCGCCACAGACAGTGACCCTAGCCGCCTGCCTGGGTCCCAGCATCAGGCTAAACACAGCCTTTCCGGGATTCTCTCGTGAAATACCAGCTCCACGCCCCTCTGCGGGACTCCTAAGGGCTGGGGAGGCCAGGCCAGGGTCCGGAGGGTCCAGAGGCACCAGGCCTCGGAAGGACTGGCTGACAGCACAGAGATTTCGGGGAGGACGGATGAGAGTCCTGGCAAGCAGGTGTGAGTCTGGTCCACCGGCCCCTTCCCGGCTGCCCCCTCCCCAAGTGGCCTGCCCTGGGCGTGGCTAAGTTCTGGCCAGACCACAGGAGCCAAAGCAGAGAGGCTCCCCCCCACCTAAGGCTCCGTCCCATGAGGACCCCGGTGGGCTCCACCCTCAGCACATCCACGATCCGCTCCTGGCCACGCCCCACTGGGCACAGCCTCCTCCTGCCCCCTGTGCTGTTTCTCCTCGGCTCCTCTGAGGTGGTCCCCTCCCCAGCAGAGCCGCTCAGGGGCCTTCCTGGCCACTTTCTGGCTGAGGTCCTTGGGACCTGCAGCCCCCAGCTTGTGCCCCAGCCCACAGACTGGGCTCTCTGCTGGAGCTCTGCCTGCGGTCGTCCCCCCTCATGCTGTTCACATGCTGTTCCTTCTATCTGGAATGCTTTTCCCTGGGATACAGGTCAGCTCTTCAAACGTCACCCTCTCCATGAGGGTCCCTGAGCACCCTGCTGAAAATCACAACCAGCCCCACCCACAGCCCCGAGGCCAGGAAGCACACAGGCCCTGCTCCCCTGCACGGCCCACGCCCAGCTGGAGGAACAGGGTGGGGGTTCCGCAGGTGCTGCAGTGAAGGCACACACAGGGCCTGGGACTGCTGCCACCAGGACAAAGGGCCACGGCCCCTCCATGGTGGTCACTGGCCAGGCCCCTGCAGAGGACTTCCTCCTGGACACCACCTGGGTAGGTGGAGGTCACCAGGGCACTGTGGCCTCTCTCCCCTGTCCTCCCACCAGCACCCCTGCCCCAGCCTGGGCTCCAGGGCCCAGCAGCAGACGGGAGGCCCCAGAGGGGAATGCAGCCCCCTTCCAGGCGCCTCTGTCTGTTGTCCTCTCACCTGCTGGGGGAAATCATTCCCATGCCCATGGGGGACCCCCAGTCCCTGAGAGGGGAAGGGCAGGCCTGAGGGGAGCAGCGATCCTGTGCCTCTGGAGGGGAACTTGGGCACACTGCCCCATGCCCACCGAAGGCCTGCCTGTAAGCCCACCGGGGCCCCTCTCTGAGGCTGCACCACCCCCCTGAGAACTGCTCTCCTCCCAGCCCCGGCCTCACTAGCCCCACCTGGCATCCCCCCAACCAGAGCCCTACCACAAGAGGCCCCCAACAGGCAGGCCCCATCCCGAGAGCCAGGTGCAGGCCACGCCCTACAGAGCTGGGTTTTCTCGATGGTAAACTGAGGAACACCCAGGAGGCACCCCTCAAGCTGGCTCACAGCCCTTCTGGAGGTCTGGGCGGCAGGCGTCGGCTGGGACACGCGGGGCAGCCGGTCCTGGAGTCCTGTGCAGAGCTAGCCCAGCTTTCCACCTGCCTCTGGGGGTGGGGGCATCTGCAGCTGAGTGGCCTTGTGCAGGGCAGGGGTCTCAGGGAGGGCAAGTAGGGGGATCCACCCTCTCCCCAGCTCTTGTAGGCCCCCGGGTGCGTCCAGACCCAGCCTCCTGGTCCCCAGGGCAGTGTGTCCCCAGACCCACCCCCTAGTGGCTGACCAGGGGCAGGGACAGTGGGTGGCAGGGTCCAAGCATCTCTCTGGCCCTCCCATCCTCTGACAACCAGACCTCTGCCATTGTCCTCCCGCCCCCTCTGCCCTTGGGCACTGAGCCCAGCCCCTCTCTCGACCACACCCCCTTGCACTGGGCACCTCCCTGCCCACCCGTGAGGCCCATACTGGCCTCCCCAGCAGAGGGTAACCAGAGGGCAGAGGTCGCTCTTCCCAGTTCCCATGAGATGCCTTCAATCCCCGGGCCTGTGGATGGATGGAAGATGCCTGAGGGGTATGCACCCCAATCCCCATCTGCCCTGGGCTAGCGAGGACTCAGCAGTTCGGGGTCGCCCGAGGTTGCTCTGCAAGGTGGGGGCCAGCACTGTCCTGCAGGCTGCCCCTCTTCTTCCCCTGGGGGCAGTGGGGAGCCTCCCCCATCCCCAAATGCTTCCTGTGCAGAGCCAGGCCACTCCCCAGCCCTCATCCCCGACAGCGGGAGTCCCCTCCTCCCCTGGCCCCAAGCATTCAGGAGGGTTTAGGAGGGGAGGCACTGGAAAGTCTGCAAGAAAAGGGAATGTGTGTTTTGCCCCCAGGGCCCGTGGAACCAGGGGCTGGACTCCCAGGCCCAGCTCCTGACTCAGCCGGGCCCCCTGGCTGTGGTCCTATAGATCTGCCTTACGGTGGTCTCTGCCGGGGCACAGAACGCACACAGGGCCACAGCCCCCTTGCCCTGCCTGCCGGTGCTGGCCCCTGGGTTCTGACCTGTAGGCCCCCACCTCCGCTACAGGCCCGGGCGAGGCCCAGGGTCAGTGCCCCTGAGCCCAGGGAGTACAACAGAGAGCACTTGCCTGCATTTTCTGAGCAAAACTGAGCACCTGGCACACACCAGGGGTTCCACCTGAATTGTCTCATTTGTCCCTAAGAGCCCTGTGGGGTGGGGACCCAGCCTTTGGTGGGGGGGGGGAGCTGGGACCCAGCTCACCCCAAGCTCTGACCTGCTTGGATGCTCCGGGGGAAGAGGAAGTGGGAGGGGAGGGGGTTAGGCTCAGAAAGACCCCCACCCCTACCACGCTTCTTCCCTGCACCTCATCCCTGCTCCCTGGCCTCTCAGCTCAAGCCTTGGGCTCCTGTTAAAACCCAGCCCAGCTGGACGGGCATCTGACTTTTCAAGCGGCCCGGTACCTGGGACACCAGCTGCCAGGAGAGCCCCAGGAGGGGGCGGGTGGCCCCACGGTGTCCGCAGGCAAAACACAGGGTGCCAGCTTCAATCTCAGAAGCAGGGAAGGACCGTTTCAGTGTAAGACTGTCCCAAATACCGCAAGGGACATTCTCACACTAGATCATTCGTTCTTTGTTGGAAATTCACCATTACCGGGGCTCTGTTTTCATTTTGCTAAGTCTGGCATCTGCGGCAGGGGTGTCCATGGGCTGGGCTCTGCCTGGCACCTCTTGGCACCCACGGCTGTTCTGCAACCCCCACCACACACACAGGACCAGGGCGCCCTCACTGAGCCCCAGGAATGCAGAGCCTGGCTCCAGCACAGGCTGTACCCGCCCCACGCAGGACAGGCTGGGGACCCACCCACTCTGTGCCTGCCCCTCAACTTGCCCTGCCCTAGGCACATGGCACCTCCTCTTCCAACCAGACCCCCCGCCTCAGTTCCAGTCTCTCCGCAGGGGCTGCGGTCACGGGGCCAGCACATCCACACAGCCCACCCCAGCCATGGCCATGCCAGGCTCCAAACTCCCCCACTGCCTCGCTGACACTGAACTGAGACTAGGCCCTTAACCTGCATTAACCACCCCCTAAAATGTGACCCTGGCCTGCCTACCTTCTCCACCATTATCAACTTTTTGCTGCAGCCAAACGTAATTTTCATGGCCTATGCTTTCTCATCTCTTAAAAGGAGGATCAGGTTCAGGATCAGCTTTATCATGTGAGCAGGATCAGGGCTCACTGTGATCAGGATCAGGGCTCAAGGTGTGACCAGTATCAGGACTCAGAGTGTGACCAGGGTCAGGACTCAGAGCATCACCAGGATCAGGGCCCAGCGTGTGACCAGGGTCAGGGCTCAGGGTGTGACCAGAATCAGGACTCAGAGCGTGACCAGGATCAGGACTCAGAGTGTGACCGGGGTCAGGACTCAGAGTGTGACTGTGATCAGGGCTCAGTGTGAGACCGGGATCAGGGCTCAGCATGTGACTGGGGATCAGGGCTCAGTGTGTGACCAAGGTCAGGGCTCAGCACGTGACCAGGTCATACTCAGTGTCCACCCTGGGGCACTGTCTTTGACTAACTGGGGCCAGTCCCCCCATTAGCATCCCTGGCTGCATGGAGGTGACTGAGAGGCTTCTTGGAGAACAGGTGCCACACAGACCCTGGGATCCTGAGGGGGACTGTCCCCACCTCTCAGATTGCTCTCAATGTCCTTCAGATGCATCATTTTCTCATCCGCTAACCACTCCTCCAAATGGTGCTGGCTACCCTCCCACGATGATGGGGACCCCCACTGCCGGGAAGATGGAAGCCGGATCCCACAGGCACCTACTCTTGTTGATGTGCCTGATGCCAGCCTCGTGGGCCTGCTGGCCTCCTGACAGAGTGACCAGGGCCCGGCAACACCTCCCAGGGCTGGCACGCTGTC